AATTTTGTCCAAATACGAAGCAGCTGGCCTGCTCCGTTTCATTCGATTAACAGAAATGACTTTTCCGCATATTACACATTTTATTTTCGTATTTCCACATCCTGAGTAACACCATAAAAGTGTTAGAAAGACAAACGAAACGATAGCGCGATACATGTTCGAATTCGAATTTTGCCGCCACGCTTTCGAGAGAGAGGGCTTTCCCTGAGGCGAGCCAGCAATAATAAATTCACGGTCAGCGTCGACGCGCATGGTCGCGCAGAATACTCCCCTGTTGTCCTATAGCTTATTTAAACACCATTAAATCTCTCTCCCCTCACCCCTAAGGAAATGGTAATTTTTTAAGCCCTAAGTCTTCAAATTTTTAGTTGTTAAATTTATTATAGTGTATTAATGGTTGGAATCAGTGGTGGAAAGAGCCCACTTGCCGGCATTTGGCGGTTGCTGAGGCATCCATCTCGCTGGGGCGTGATTGTTAAGTGAATCGTTCGCGTTACAGCTATTGTTATATTGTACCTAACCTGCTAAAAGACAATTGGTTGAGAGTCATAATTGTGACTGATATATCCACATGGAAAGTGTCTTCGACAACAACTAATGCAAATTGAGAACCAAAGGCGTAGAATTATCTCTTTGTGTTTTGAATTATCTAATGTTAGTTGGCGAATGGTCGTTGTGTTGAAGTTTAGGTAGGTTAAAATTAATTCAATTGCTTCTAAAAAAAAACAGAGAAACTTAACTTCGTAAACACCGAAATAGGGGCAAAAAAGCCCTTATTTGACGTTGTGTAAAAAGGAACAAGAAATCGATAAAAAATTAAAAAGTACAGGGGGGAAAAAATGATAAAAAGAAACGACTCAATGACGAATTTGAAGACACTAAAGAATAACAATGACGAAGAAGAACTGTAAACCGTATGAAGATCAGAATTACGAGCTTGAGGCACTCAAATGGCTTTACGTCGTTTGCAAAGCACCAATCACAAAACAGGTATAGTACATGCTATTTCACGATCCGATGCTTGAAAATATCAAGTTTATCCACCTCGGGATTTACCTTACAAGGAATTGGGTCAACATGTTTGAAATCTCTTATTATAGTACGTGATTACACAGACAGAACTTGAAAGGACCTATCCTCTGAAAGAATGTCAAACACGATATCGATTGCAGTCGATCTGCTATACTTGCACTTCAGTACCACAGGAAGCCCATTTCAAATAAAGGTAAGAAATATTTAATTTATTTTTAGCATTAATTTGCGCATATATATACATTTAAGTACGAGGTATACCGTGTTGGATGGCAGGAAAGATATGACGTCATAGACTCGATCATGGACGTCATTTCCACTATGTAGGCTGGATTCGATCTAGGTAATATTTTTGCATTGATATTGGACGGAGGAAAGATTCCAAAGCAGAGAGAGGACTTCACCTCGATACCAAAATCTCACGACATATTTACATTGTATTGCCAAGTCTCTAAGAATGTCATCGTTGACATAGAGTAGATTTCGCATATCCTCGAAAAGACACGGTCACGGTACGAAATAACGACAGTCGCTGAACCAATCACACCTTGAACCTGACCACCACCTTTCTGCAGGCGTCCCATGAATCGACAATAGATACCCTACAGAACTATTTCTGATGTGTATATAATGGATCATGATAAGGACTCTTGATTTTCTTCGTTTGATTCTTTCGTTGACTGTATAATTAAATATTCCTGTAAAAAGTAAGAATGGTAAAAAGGGGATGAGAGAATTTTAAAAAGAGAAGAATAGGAGTGAAAGACCAAGGTACTTACTGCGTATATCTCTAGTAAGTGTGTCAATCGTTCTACCAGTTCGCTAAATGTTGGTCGATCTTTCGGGTTTTCTTTCCAACAGTCTTCCATTATACGATAACTAAACAGAAATATAAGCTAGTTAGTAATGAGTGTCATCACGACCACGAACGAATTTCACGATATCAACACGAGATATCACGAACATCATCACGATCACAAAACTGACATCACGAACGTCATCACGACCACGAACGAACTTCACGATTTCAACACGAGA